CGCTCAGACACAGATACACACGCTCACGCAGACTCCCTCACTCGACACAGCCTCACTCAGATACACAGATTCACATTCAGGCACACATACTTCAACACACACGCACATATTCAGATACACAGACTCTCATTCAAGTACACACAATCAGACACACATGCTCAGACACACGCTGTCACTCAGATACGCAGATTCTCACTCAGGCACACCCGGACTCTGTCAGACACTCAGATTCACTCACTCAGGCAAAGACTCTCACGCAGGTACACAGACTCACTGATTCAGATACACACTCACTCACACATACACACTCAGACAAACACACCCTCACTCAGACACACTCAGACTCTCACTCATTCAGTTACACACACAGACACGCACTCATTCAGATACACACACACAGACTCTCAATCATTCAGATACACACACTCTCAGACAGAAATACACACACACACACAGAGACACACTAAGACACACTCTCACTCAGATACACAGACTCACACTCAGACTCTCATTCAGATACATCAGTCAAATACACAGACTCACTGAGTTCTCCTCCAAACTCGTCTATTGCATCCGGTGCTCCCAATGTGGTCTTCTCTCCGTCGGTGAGACCAAACATAGACAAGGTGACCATTTCACCAAGCATCTCTGCTTGACCTATAACAGCCAATCTTAACCTCCCGGTGACCACCCATTTCAACTCCTCATCCCACTACCCCTCTGATGTGTCCGTCTTCGGCCTCCTGCAGTGCATCAGTGCCTCAGAACCCAAATTTGAAGAACAACATCTTATCTTCCACCTGGGCACCTAACAGCCCAGAGGACTCAACATTGAGTTAAAACAAAACATAGAACAGTACAGACCCTTCGACCCACAATGTTGTGCCGACCTATTATCCTACTCTCAGATCAGGCTAACCTGTATACCCTTCATTTTACTGTCATCCATGTGCCTATCCAAGAGTCGCTCAAATGTTGCTAATGTATCTGACTCTACTACCACTGCTGGCAGTGCATTCCATAAACCCACCACTCTCTGTATAAAGAACCCACCTCTGACATCTGCCCTATACCTTCATCCAATCACCATAAGATTATGCCCCCTCATGGTGGTCATTTCTGCCCTGAGAAAAAGTCTCTGGCTATCATTCTGTCAATGCTTCTCATCATCTTGTATACCTCTATCAAGTCACCTTTCATCCTTCTTCGCTCCCATGAGAAAAGCCATAGACCCTTCAACCTTTCCTCATAAGACCCGCCCTCCAGTCCAGGCAGCATCCTGGTAAATCTCCTCTGCATCCTCTATAAAGTTTCCACATCCTTTTTGTAATGAGACGACCAGAACTGAACGCAATATTCCAAGTGTGGTCTAACCAGGGCTTTATAGAGCTGCAGGGTAACGTCGTGGCTCTTAAACTCAATTCCCCTGCCAATGAAAGCCAACACACCATATGCCTTCTTTACAACCCTATCAATTTGGGTAACAACTTTGAAGGATCTACGGACGAGGACCACAAGATCCCTCTGTTCCTCCACACTGCCAAGAATCCTGCCATTAACCCTGTATTCTGCATTCAAACTCGACCTTCCAAAATGAATCGCTTCACATTTTTCCGGGTTGAATTCCATCTGCCACTTCTTTGCCCAGCTCTGCATCCTGTCAATATCCTGTTGCAACTTACAATAGTCCTCCACACTATCCACAACTCCACCAAACTTTGTGTCATCGGCAAACTTACTAACCCACCCTTCCAGTTCCTCATCCAAGTCATTTATAAAGATCACAATGAGCAGAGGCCCCAGAACAGATCCCTGTGGAACACCACTGGTCACCGAGCTCCAAGCTGACACTGTGTGCAGTTCTGGTTGCCCTGTTATTGGAAGGATTTTATTAAGCTGGGGAGATTTCAGAAGAGATTTCGGACGATGCTGAAAGGAATGGAGGGTTGCGTTATAAGGAGAGTCTGGACAGACTGGGACTTTTTCTCTGAAGCGTGGGAAGTTGAGAGGTAACCTTGTAGAAATTTACAAAATAATGAGGGGTTTGGTTAGGGTGAATAGCATGTGTCTTTTTTATCTAGGGTGGGGGTGAGGGGGTTTCAAGACGAGGGGACATACTTTTAAGGTGAGAGGACAAAAAATTTTAAAAAGACATGAAGGGCAATTTGTTTACGTAGACAGTAGTTTGTGTGGAATGAACTGCAAGAGAAAATGGTAGATGCAGGTACAGTTACAACGTCTAAATGACATTTGGGTAAATACATGAATGAGAAATGTTTGGAGGGATAAGGGCCAGTAGCAGGCAGGTGGGACTAGTTTAGTTTGGGATTATGGTCAGCATGGACTGATTGGACCGAAGCATCTGTTTCCATGCTGTATGACTCTGTGACTCTATGACTGCATAACCAGGATCACTGTCTCCCACTGACATGTAATCACTCAGGCTCCACATGCAGACTGGACGCGTTCTGAGGAAGGGTCACCGGACCTGAAATGTTAACTGATTTTTCCCTCACAGATGCAGCCAGACCTGCTGAACTTTTCTAGCAACTTCAGTTTTTGCAGCTGGAAGCTTGTTCTTCATTGTAAGGGGAAAGGGATTTGAAATTCATGAGGTTCTGCATCATTTCATTAGGACCTGGAAGACTACAGACTCAGTTATCTCATTATTCAAGAAAGGATATAATGACATTCCAGGCATTCCATTCCCCCTAAGTATTGAGTCTCCTATCACTAAGGCCCTGTTTCCCTTTACCCTTTCCCACTGTGCCCCAGAGCCAGTTGTAGTGCTATCCACCTGGCTACTGATGCTTTCCCCTGAACAGTCATCCCCCCAAACAGTATCAAAAATGGTATGCTTGTTTTCTAGGGGAATGGCCACTGGGGATTCCTGCACTCTGTGCCTACTCCCTTTGCCTTTTCTGGTGGTCGCCCAGCTACTCTTTGCCTGCACTTTAGGTATGACCACCTAACTAAAACTCTTATCTATGATGCGTTCAGGACTCCTTGATACCAGACAATCCACTCTTCAGTGCAGGTGGCTGTTCCAGGCTTTAATGTATGCGCCGAAGAGATGCCTTTACTTCTCAGTTGCCTCTGCTGCTTGGGCTCAAGCAGCCTCCTCTTCACCATGGATCTACAATCCCTTTACATATACTTGCCCCATCAGGATGGTCTCAGGACTCTCTGCTTCTTCCTGGAAAAAAGGGATGAACTATCCCCATCCACTACCAACCCCTCTGCCTGGCCAAGCCAGCCCTCACTCTAAACAGCTTTTTTAATTCCTGTCACTTTCTTCAGGATAAAGGTGTGGCCACGCGTACCCATATGGGCCCCAGGTATGCCTGTCTCTTTCTGGGGTATGTGGAATATTCCTTGTTCCAGTTCTACTCTGGCCCCCACCCACAACTCTTTCTCCAGTATGTCGATGATATCATTGGAGCTGCTTCCACTTCACTCTCTCACCTAGAATTGGAAAAGTTTATCAATTTTGCTTCCAATTTCCATCCTGGGCATCTTTGACTCCTCCATTCCCTTTCTTGACATCTCTGTTTCCATTTCTGAGGATCAGCTAGCTTCCAATATCCACTAGAAACCCACTATCTCCCACAGTCACCTTGACTACACATCCTCACTGCCTGCTTCCTGTAAAGGCTCCATGCCATTTTCCCTGTCGTCCATCTCTTTCGCATCTGTTCTGATGATGCCAACATCTATTTCCACTTTCTTCCTCAACTGGGGGTTCCCTGGCACCGTAGTTGACAGGGCCCTCAGCCGAGTCTGATCCATCTCCCAGCACTCACCCCCTTTCTTCCCTCCTGCAATAGCGACAGGGTTCCCTTTGTTCTTGCCTACTACCCCACTAACATCCACATCCAGAAGATCATTAGCCACCATTTCTGTCACCTCCAGCAGGATGCCACCACCAGACACATATTTCCCTCCCGTCCATTGCCATCCTTCTGCAGGTACCATTACCCCGGGAAAACCTGGTCCACTCTTCCTTCACTACCAACATTGCCCCTCACAGCTCCACGGCCCTTCCCCTGCAACCACATAAGGTGGAATACCTGCCGATTTACTTCCTCCCTCCTCAGTATCCAAGGACCCAAATATACTTTCCAGGTGAAGCAGCACTTTACCTGTGCTTCACTCAATTTAGTCCACCGTATTCACTGTTCACAATGTAGTCTCTTTTACATTCGAAAATAGAACTGTTAAGCACAGGAACGGCCCCTTCGGCCCATGATCTTGTGCCAAACATGACGCCAAATTAAACTAATCCCATCTAAAAGTCCCTTAAATGCTCCTGTCGTATTGCCTCCACCACCACCCCTGGCAAAGTGTTTCAGACTCCTACCACTCTCTGTGTAAAAGACTTGCCCCTCACATCTACTTTGAACTTTCCCCCTCTAACCTTAAATGCATGCTCCCTTGTGTTAGACATTTCAATGCTGGGAAAAAGATTCTGATCGTCAACCCTATCTTTGCACCTCATAATTTTATAGACTTCAATCAAGTCTCCCTCAGCCACCACACCAGAGAAAACAACCTGAGTTTTTCTAGCCTCTCCTTATAGCTCATACCCCTTAATCCAGGCAGCATCCCCATTTCTGAAGAAGGGTCCAGACCTGAAACGTCAACTTTCCTGCTCCTCTGAAGCTGCCTGGCCTGCTGTGTTCCTCCAGCTCCACACTATTATCTCTGACTCCAGCATCTGCAGTTCTTATTATATCTGAGCATCCTGGTAAACCTCTTCTGCACTCTCTACAAAGCCTCCATATCCTTCCTGTAATTTGGCGACCAGAATTGAACACAATACTCTAAGTGTAGCCTAACCAAAGTCTTATAAAGCTGCAACATCACTTCCTGATACTTGTACTCACTTCACCGACCAATAAAGACAGCAGGTATTTTCTGCAATGGCATTGTGGGACTTTGTTCAGTCATGTCTTTTGAGCCTTCGGTGTTTCACTTCCTTTTCCTACTTCCTGGTTAAGGCTGGGCTGTTCCAAAGTTATTTCTGACATGAATCACAGAATGACACAGATTCAGAAACAAGCTGAGACACAGAGAGATTGAGAGCACAAGCACAGAGAAACTGAAAAGGAAAAGAGAGATTGATTAGGAGGGCAGGCAGAAAACTATGTGTTAACAAAGGAACAGAGCTCTGAAGTGGAGAGCAGAGAGTTGTGATCATTTGCAATGTCCGTCTGCAAGGTGTGTTTGGTATTTCTGATCTGGTGCCAGGTTTTAAATCTTTCAGCAGCAGAGAATGAAGAATCTGCGATTGACGATGGGAACCGTGGAAATGGAAAAGTGCTCGCTGTCCCCAGTAACAGACCCACCAGTCATTCACCAGGAGCTGGGTGGGAGACCAAGATTAAAGGAGCTACTTCAGGTGAACAAAGAACTGCTTCAGGTGAGGATGATCAGTCTTGGTAATCCTCTCAATGCTGTCACTTTTCCACAATTCCTGATAAAATAGTTTTTCATTTAGAGTGACATAACAATAGAGAAGGTAAGTGGCATTCTTGCCTTCATCGATAGGCGCACGGAGTAGAGAGTTGGCAAACCATGTTGCGGCTATATAAAACTCTTGTTAGGCCACATTTGGAATATTGTGTGCAGTTTTGGTCACCACATTACCAGAAGGACATGGAAGCTTTGGAGAGAGTGCAGAGAAGCTTCTCTAGAATGTTTTCTGGCCTTGAGGGCATTGGTTATGAGGAAAGGTTGAAAAGACTAGGACTATTTTCACTGGAAAGACGGCGGCTGAGAGGAGGTCCACAGAATTATGAGATAGAAGTCCACAGAATTATGAGAGGCATAGAGTGGGTGGATAGTCAGAGGCTTTTTCCCAGGGTTGAAGTTTCAATTCCAAGGGGGCACACGTTCAAGGCGAGAGAGGGAAAGTTTAAGGGAGATGTGCGAGGAAAGTTTTTCACGCAGAGGGTGGTAGAGGCTTCAAATGCACTGCCAGAAGAAGTGGTGGAATGAGGCACATTGGCAACATTTAAGAGGCACTTAAGAGGTTACATGAACAGGGAGGGAATAGAGGGATGTGCTCCGAATAAGGGCAGAAGGTTTGATTTTTAGTTTAGTTAGGACATGATGATCGGCACAGGCTTGAAGGTTGAAGGGCCTGTTCCTGTGCCGTACTTCCCTTTTGTTCTTATTTTCTTGTTCTCTAGGACTGGAGTACAAGGATGCAGAAGTTATGCTGCAATTGTACAAAACCCTGGGTGGACCCCATTTTGTGTACTGTGAGCAGATCTGGGAACCACACCTTAGGAAGGATATATTGGCCTTGGAGGGAGTACAGAGTAGGTTTACAAGAATAATACCTGACTTCAGAACAAAGAACAAAGAAAATTACAGCGCAGGAACAGGCCCGTCGGCCCTCCAAGCCTGCGCCGATCCAGATCCTCTACCTAAACCTGTCACCTATTTTCCAAGGATCTGTAGGACAGAGGTGCAAAATTAGGTCTTTCAGCCCATTGAGTCTGTTCTACCACACCCATCTCCTACCTACTAACCTCATCTCACCCCCTTGACCTGTCCGTCCTCCCTGGACTGACCTATCCCCTCCCTAACTCCCCACCTATACTCACCTTTACTGGCTCCATCCCCGCCTCTTTGACCTGTCTGTCTCCTCTTCACCTATCTTCTCCTCTATCAATCTTCTATCCGCCTCCCCCTCTCTCCCTATTTATTTCAGAACCCCCTTCCCCTCCCCCATTTCTGAAGAAGGGTCTACACCCGAAACATCAGCTTTCCTGCTCCTCTGATGCTGCTTGGCCTGCTGTGTTCACCCAGCTCTGCACGTTGTTATCTCAGATTCATCTGCAGTTCCTACTATCCTTGATAATGACTTCTGTCTGTTTTCCCTCCCATTTCAAGATGTACTGTATCCGCTTAGAGAAATCCAGTATCCTGGCATCAGGGAGGCAATACACCATCCTAGAGTCTCGTTTGAGGCCGTAGAAACACCTGTCTCTGCCCCTGACTACCGAGTCAACTATCGCTCACCTGGATATTGCCTGACCCTGCTGTACAGCAGAACCAGTTGTGGTGCCACAGGCCTGGCTGCTGCTTGTACCATCTCCTGAGAGGCTAACCACCCCCCGAGAGTACCAAAAATGGTGTACCTGTTAGAGAGGGGAATATCCACACGAGACCCCCGCACTACTTGCCTGCGTCTTCTGGTGGTTACCCATCTACTTGACTGAACCTGTGGTGTGAGCACCTCCCTGAAGCTAGCGTCTATCACACTCTCTGCCCTCTGTACGCTCCTCCGTGTGTCCCACTGCCACTCCAACCGAACCATGCGGTCCGTGACGACCTGCAGCTGGTCACACTTCCTGCAGACATAGTGGTCAGGGACACCAGACTGCTCCCTGATTTCCCACATCTGACAGCAGGAGCATACCACTGCCCTAACTGCCGTCTATGCCCTTGTACGCTTAAAAAATAAGAATCTTACCTTCCTTGTCTTCCTCACAGTGCCCCTTTTTTTATTGCTTTCAGGAGCTTGGTGGTGGAGTGGGTGGAGCACTAACTAATGTAGTGTTTCAGGTTTAACCACTCCTTGACACCAGCTCCTCTGCAATATTCAGACCAGTCTGAATGTCTCTGCCACCCTCTGATACAATGATCTTCCTCGCGTCAATCACTGAGGGTGCCCTGTCACAATCCACTGACCAGTCATGCTGACTGTAGTGCCGCCTCCCAGAATTCCTCTCAGTGACGTTTCTGTCGCCCTCTGATTTGATATTCTTCCTCATGTCAATAACTGAGAGTGTCCTCTTAAGGATGAAAGAAACATTCACATGAGTATTTTTCTTTTATTTTCATTCTTCAATTTCTCACAAAATCAATGGGCTTGAAGTTATCATTGACGTGGCATGAACATCTTCAGTTATAAAAATGTAATTGTTGATGTATCATTAACATCACGGGAGATTCAGTAGTGTTGTATAACCATATATTTGTTTTAACGGCTTTCACTTCTCACACTTTGTGGAAAACTTTATGTTGGAACACTAGTAATAACAATAAAGGTGTAACTTTCACGTTGGAAGAGAGAGATAATGAGAGATCCAAAGGAGGGAGGATTATTTGGAAGTTAGAGAGAGCCAATACTTGGAGGGGATACTTGTTGAATGAAATGCAGAGCCTAAGAAAGGAGCAAATTGAAGTGAAAGGGATGAGGGGGTAAAGCAGATTTAAAGAATGAAGTGTGGTATAGGAAGGAAGAAAACCAAGAAAGCTATGGAAGGCAATTGTGGAACTGGCAGACCACTTGATGACTAGCAAGGAAACAAACGAAGCAGATGGTAGAGGAACATGAAGGCAAAGTGTGGCGTATGTGTTGAATGTTTGTGTTGAGTAAGGTATTCCATTTTGAGAAGAATTATAAAAGGTTTCTATCTTTTTTTTTCTTTATCCATATCATTGAGCAAAAGAAATCAATGTTGAAGCTTTATGAAATAATTGCATTGTTAGAGATTGTAAAGTCACTCATGCACCAAAGGTTAGTCTTCTATTAAGCTTTATTGGAGCATGGCACAAACTTTATGCTGCAATGGACATCACACAGCTATTTGAAGATACTAATATTGATGTAAAAGGTGGAAAACCATATTTGTACAAGACTATTTCATGTCAAACGTTTTAAATTACTTCATAGAATTGCTTTTATAAACACATTGCCATTAGGATGGATCATCATTGAAATTTCAGCACAAAACAAGGTTTTGACCCATTTTTCTTAATGTATTATCAGTTTCTTGACAATGGCATCTGCTCACATTGTTCTCTAATTTCCATTATTTTTTTCCTTCAAATATGTGCTTTATTTACTGCATTCATTCACGGGATGAGGGCACCGCTGGCAAGACAGTATTTATTGCCTATCCCTAAATCCCCAGAGGACAGTTCAGACGACATTACTGTGGGTCTGTAGTCACATGTAAGCCAGACCGGGTAAGGATAGCAGTTTCCTTCCCTAAAGAACATTAGTGAACCAGATGGGTTTTCCAACAATCGATAATGGATTCATAGCCATCATTTGATTCTTAATTGTTTATTATTTATTGACTTCACATTCCACCATTGGCCAAGGTGGGATTCAAACCTGAATCCCCAGAATGTTATCTGGGTCTCTGGATTAACAGTCCAGCGATAATACCACTAGGCCATCACCTCACCAATATCCTTGTTTGTTTAAATCTTGGGCATCTAGTTGAGATGGTATCACCAAAAAAAAAGACTCTTAATTCCAGATATTTATTGAATTCAAATTTCACAATCTGCCGTGGCAGGATTTGAAGGGTCTAGGCCCGAAACGTCAGCCTTCCTGCTCCTCTGATGCTGCTTGGCCTGCTGTGTTCGTCCAGCTCTACACCTTGTTATCCCCAAAACAATATCTAGGTCTCGGAATTAACAGTCTACCGCTAATACCACTAGGCCATTGCCTCCCTTTTCAAGATGTCCTGTACATGTTCATGTAGACACTAAATACCTTATACCGAACTAAACACACAACACACAAAAAATGTGTTATATTACAGATATATTGTCAACCCACCTATGTGTTATTTAAAACAAAAACACATGAATTCTTAAATTTGCCATTACAATTTTTAAGTGGCTGATGTTCCTGAAAGTTAAAGCTGGCAATTGGTACTAAATTTAGGATATCTGGTTGGCATGGACGAGTTGGACGAAAGAGTCTGTTTCCGTGCTGTACATCTCCATGACTCTATGATCCTATGACTCTATGTCAGAAAATAGAAAAGAAGACAAACACAAGCAGCACTTAACATTAAAACTGTGTTAGAGCAGTGGGAGTCATTCATGAGGAAATTGTGAGAGTACAGGGCAAATATAATGTCAGAGAGTGTGACCAAGACCAGAGCTCCCTGGTTGTATTGGGACATAAATTTTAGGATGAATGAATTACGGCAAATACTGAGGGTTCAATACGGCAGTGTCCATATGGGAGCAAAAATAGTGCAGGAGGAACTTAAAAGGTCATTGGGAAAACTAAAACTGCATGAGAAAGCATTGGTGAGTGGAATAAAGGTAGGCAGAATACAGTGACAAGGTGGTTCAGTGGTTAGCACTGCTGCCTTACAGTACCAAGGACTTAGGTTTAATTCTACCCTCGGCTGACTGTCTGTGTGGAGTTTGCACATTTTCCCTGTGTCTGCGTGAGCTTTCTCCCACAGTCCAAGGATGTGCAGGCTAGGTGGATTGGCCATGCTAAATTGCCCATAGTGTTCAGCGATGTGTGGATTAGGTGGATTATAGGGGGATGGGACTGGGTAGGATTCTCAGAGGGTCAGTGTGGACTTGTTGGGCCAAAGGGCCTATTTCCACACAGATTCTATGATTATAAAACCCAAAGTAGTTTGT